CACACACACACACACAAAATACCGTTTGCAATATATGCGAACTTTGTAAATATTAGGATATCCTTCAGCGACCTAGACAGAGAGGCCTTCAAAACACTACAATCTACATAAAACCATGAAGCACCGACATGAAATGCTTGTACGTAGGGGTATAAATGAACCCGGGAAGATATGACAAAAATGCTGCATACGGTAACTGAAAATAATGGATAAAGATGCAGTGTTTAGAATGAGAAATGGGAGGATGAGATGACGCAGGTGAAAGCTGCGTGTCCAAATGAACCGGAGAGAGACGTCAAGAAAATCCTATCCAGGATAAGAGTAAAGGAACCAGAAAGGCAACTTCCATGAGCAAATTACAAAAGCAAGTTCGACGGAAACATGAGAAATGGCATATAATGTTAAAAGACCAGGAGAGGGAAAGACTATGGTCGCCGCGTTGGAGTTGCGTAGTTCAGGATTAGTCTGACATGTCATAATGGTCTAATAAGGTTCTGAGATTAACGAAAAGATTCAGGAGAGGAGACATGGGGAATGTGGGCTGTGAGACCCTGCCAAGGGCGTCTCGACACACTTCAATTGAAGTCTGAAAAAAATGGCAGCAAGATTTGAATCGAAAAAAATGGCAAAATTACACAAGATTGGGAAAGAAGTAAGACGTTCTATATAGCAAGGAGAAGAGGCAGTCTTTTCCATCAGAAAATTAGAAAAATCTCGTTACAACCTCATATCTAATGCCAGAAGCGAGCGCGCATTCACACATTATCAGAATAGCGTCTGCCTTAAGTATCAAACTGTCCACCAGATGGTAGGCTTCAGAAAGTATCCAAACGCGTGAAATGGAAGAACCGGAATTATTACTTTAAACTAAGAATGTTCGAAGAGCCGGGATAAGACCTGTTGCATGGTCCTACAGGCACGAGACAAGCTAACTACTCAACAGACCACCAGCCGACCGAATCATCAGACACGGGAAATTAGGTCTTCGTTGCATCAGATCACCAGACAGTCGGGTCTCAGACCACCACGAGGGGTAAGATATAGTGTCCTTTCCTCGACAAGGCTCTTACAGTGAGTGGTGTGGGTGAAGAGCTAAGAGAGCACTGGGGGAGTTGCCCAATCAGTTTTACCAGCCTCCTCCTCTTTCCAGGTGACTGTGTATCGAACGTACCCATACCGGTTTCCCTTTGGTAGCCAGTAATCATTGTACCATTCCCCGAGTACCTACGTACCGTTGCCTCCAGGTACCTGTTGTTCCATCCCTCAAGGTACCAAGGTACTCATTGTACTCCCTTCAGGGCCCCAGGTACACAATGTAATATCCCCCAGGTACCAAGGAGCCCGCAGGTACCAAGGAACAAATTGTATCATCCGCCAGGTCCCAATTAAGGTACTCATTGTACGAACCTCCAGGTACCTGGATTGTACCTGGATGGGGTTCTGGGAATTCTGCTACCCCTACAGTCTGGCCCTAGGCCAGGCTTGACTTGCTAGAGAATCAGGTTGTTGCTTCCAGCGGCCCGCAGACCCTCATATCCACTTCAGCCCGGTTGGTCCGGCTTTGCTTACAGAAAACTCCAATTTTTCTTAAAGACTTTCACCTTCGTTCCCGGAAATATTTCTTATACTTTTGAGGATATTGAAAAACCGTGAGCCTCTGATGTTCATGCATTGTCCGCTGATTGCACATAGGTACCTATTATACCATCCCCCCCTCCAAGTACCAGTTGTACCATCCTCAGGTACCTTTGTACCACAGCCACCGACATACCCCTCACCACTGGAAGTTGAGTCTCAGCGAATGTTTTGATTTACGCAGACCGACAAATTTGCATTTAATTTCCATAGGAAGGCAGAGAGGCTGGTCCCGTCCGGCTCTGTGGCGGCTACAAGCTGGATAAAGGATGAACGTATTCATTTAATCTCCTTTATTGTTGAGATTACGGCGGGGTTATTTATGGGGATGGTTGTGGGTGGTGGTTGCGAGGAGGGGGGGGGGGTAGTTGTTAGGAATGGCTGTTGGAGGTATGGGTGGTTGTAAGGGTGTATTTTGGTTGGGGAGAATTTGTTACAGGTCGTGGTTGTAATAGAAGGTGTAGTGGACGGTGGTGCGGGATGCATGGTGGTGGTTGTGGTTGGGTGGTGGTTGTGGTTGAGCGGGTACCTATTAGTGCTTACCTACGAGTGACTACGGGTGAAGAGAGAGAGAAAGAGATCTGGCTCCTTACATCCCGCCTCCTAACCGTTTATACTTCAACTAGTTACCCCTCTCAACATTACCGTTTTCCTCATACATCTATATAAACTGCTGGAAGCAATTTGGCTTCAACAACCTCTTCTTCCAATGCATTCCACTAGCCTTCACCCGCGCAGGAAACGATCAAGAACTTCCTTACAAATCTTCGACTCAGTTACATGTCTAGCCTTCACCAATGTCCCACTAGCAAACCCCAAAGCAAACCAACATGTTGGTCAGACTATTTGGTTACACCAAATAGTCCAAATGTACCTCGCTGTTAGAGCTGTCATTAGTTTGTCATATTGACCTGAAAGTATTCAACAAAAACTCGGTTGTTCAACGTCCTACCAGCGAGCATCAGAAATATTGCCTGAACAACCGTGGACATCTTCAAGAGAAAACTAGATTGTTTTCTTCAAGGAGTGCCGGACCAACCGGGGTTGTGGTGGGTATGTGGGCTTGCGGGCCGCTCCAAGCACAACCCGTTCTCGCAAATTTAATAAGTCAATATTGACTTATTAAATATGTGCATAGGTGACATACTTAACATAATAGTTTCCCTTGAAAAGCTTCATAGAAAACACCGACCTTACCTAACCTACTTAGTATGTTAAGATAAGCATCTTATTGCTTCGTAATTACAATTATTACCTAACCTATACCTATAATAGGTTAAGTAACAATTGTATTCAGTATTTTCAAGGTCAGTATTTTCTATGAAGCTTTTCAAAGGAAACTATTATGTTAAGTATGTCACCTATGCACGCAACTAATAACTCAATATTGACTTATTAAATTTGCGAGAACGGGTTGCCAAGCAACAGCCTGGTGGACCAAACTCTCACAAGTCAAGCCTGGCCTCGGGCCGGGCTTGGGGAGTAGAACAACTCCCAGAACCCCATCAAGCAGGTATCAAGGTATCATTAAATATTACCTACCATCATTACAGAAACGCACTAGTTAAATCAACGACAATAAATATGGAATAATTATTAATGTTTTAAATTAGACATTTGATAAGAAATTTCCGACTCAATCTTTGTAAGTATGAAACGAAAATGTGAAGCCCTAAAAAATATATTGTTCACTGAACATTTACTAATAAACATTATACTACTGAATATATATATATATATATATATATATATATATATATATATATATATATATATATATACCCCTAAATAGTGACCACAAATGTTGATAAACATTTAAAAGTAATTGTTGTTAAAACAATCAGCGGGCTAACTTACCTCTAGTTATATTACGAAGCAGAAAAATGAAGTAAAAGTTAAAATAAAAAAGCTGTTTGGTCCTTATTTGGACCAGCGGGGCCATACGCGGACACAACAATAGTGATGAATGACAGCGTAAATGTGGGAGGCTGGACCGAAGTGGTGTATTACCTGATGCTCTGTCTCTCTCTGTGAGACAGGTAGGACTGTGATGTAGCGAAGAGCAGAGAACGTTACTTGCAATTAGTACACGAGATTGGTGGATGCTCGCGGTGTGTGGCGGTGGTGGCTTGGCTACTGGTGGTGTGGTGGTGGTGGCTTGGCTTCTGGTTGTGTGGTGGTGGTGGCTTGGCTTCTGGTTGTGTGGTGGTGGTGGCTTGGCTTCTGGTTGTGTGGTGGTGGTGGCTTTACTTTGGTGGTGGTGGCTTGGGTTGTGGTGGCGTAGTGGTGGTGGCTTGGCTACTGGTGGTGTGGTGGTGGTGGCTTGGCTTCTGGTTGTGTGGTGGTGGTGGCTTGGCTTTGGTGGTGGTGGCTTGGGTTGTGGTGGCGTGGTGGTGGTGGCTTGGCTTCTTGTGGTGTGATGGTGGTGGTGGTTTGGGTTCTGGTGATGTGGTGGTGGTGGCTTGGCTCCAGGTGTTGAAATCTAAAGTGTGGAGACGGCGGCCTGGTTTCTGATGGTGTGCGATTATACCCTGAACCTTGAAGCTGTTTAGTGGTGGCTTAGATCACTGTTATGTAGGAGCTCAGGCTTCACATTGCGAAGATTACCTCTCAGGTCAACGAGACTAAAGACCAGAAACGTTCACATGACCAACGACACGCTTTTACAAGGCGCTTCTCCGCGCTTCTCACAAACTTTACACGTAAACGATATTTTCTCCACTCGATTCGTTTCTTCAATCCTTGCCAATATTCTCACAAGTACATGCACTCTCTGGGGGTCAACGGATTAGCGTGGTAGATTAATCGCTCATCCGTCATAATGCCAGGAGATCAACCGGCCGTAGAGCCTCCGAGGGAAGGTCAGGCCAACACTATTCAAATCAAGCACAGGTTCACTCCAACCAATGAATATTAATGTCTTCTTCAGCATTCAAGCTGAATCGAGAGGCAATTTTTGTTTGGGGGAGACAGGGCTTCGACGAGGAAATATAGACTCAGTGCAGCTTGCTCAGCGGTTACTCAGTAGAGTATCTGGAATAGAATGAAAAATAATAATAAAACTTGGAAAAACTCCATTAGAAAAGAGAAACAGTGTCAGTGGACTCTGATCGATCCTCGATCCTGTGCGGATATGATCGAACCTCATCCCCCCCACCCCTCCTCCATTTCGTTGTTGTGGTTTAAGATTCAGCTACTGGGAACAAAAAGTTCAAAGTAGCACGGGCTATGGTGAGCCCGTAGTGGACTTACTTGGCACAGGAGCGGGGCTGTGACCTAACGGGGCTCCTCCTCGGTCACTACTTCACTATATACACCTCCCACCCCTGACTCACCTACCTGGTGACCCAGCAAGGCTCGCAGTCTCAATTATCATATTCCTGCAAGATGAATTTGTTGCAGCTTCGGTAGATGTTGTCCCTGCTGTTGCCGCTGCTGTTGCTGCTGCTGTTGCCACTGCTGTTGTTGCCACTGTTGTTGCCACTGCTGTTGTTGCCGCTGCTGTTGTTGCCGCTGTTGTTGCCACTGTTGTTGTTGCCACTGCAGTTGTTGCCACTGTTGTTGCCGCTGTTGTTGCCGCTGCTGTTGTCGCTGCTGTTGCTGCCGCTGCTGTTACCCCTGCTGTTGCCGCTGCTGTTGCCACTGCTGTTGCCGCTGCTGTTGCCACTGCTGTTGTTGCCACTGCTGTTGTTGCCGCTGTTGTTGCCACTGCTGTTGTTGCCGCTGCTGTTGCCACTGCTGTTGTTGCCGCTGTTGTTGCCACTGCTGTTGTTGCCACTGCTGTTGTTGCCGCTGTTGTTGCCACTGCTGTTGTTGCCGCTGTTGTTGCCACTGCTGTTGTTGCCGCTGCTGTTGCCACTGCTGTTGTTGCCGCTGCTGTTGCCGCTGTTGTTGCCACTGCTGTTGTTGCCGTTGCTGTTGCCGCTGTTGTTGCCGTTGCTGTTGCCGCTGTTGTTGCCACTGCTGTTGTTGCCGCTGTTGTTGCCACTGCTGTTGTTGCCACTGCTGTTGTTGCCGCTGCTGTTGCCACTGCTGTTGTTGCCGCTGCTGTTGCCGCTGTTGTTGCCACTGCTGTTGTTGCCGCTGTTGTTGCCACTGCTGTTGTTGCCGCTGTTGTTGCCACTGCTGTTGTTGCCGCTGCTGTTGCCGCTGTTGTTGCCACTGCTGTTGTTGCCGCTGCTGTTGCCACTGCTGTTGTTGCCACTGTTGTTGCCGCTGCTGTTGTTGCCGCTGTTGTTGCCACTGCTGTTGTTGCCGCTGCTGTTGCCACTGCTGTTGTTGCCACTGTTGTTGCCGCTGTTGTTGCCGCTGCTGTTGCCACTGCTGTTGCCGCTGCTGTTGCCGCTGTTGTTGCCACTGCTGTTGTTGCCGCTGTTGTTGCCGCTGCTGTTGCCGCTGCTGTTGCCACTGCTGTTGCCACTGCTGTTGCTGCCGCTGCTGTTGTTGCCGCTGCTGTTGCCACTGCTGTTGTTGCCGCTGCTGTTGCCACTGCTGTTGCCACTGCTGTTGCTGCCGCTGCTGTTGTTGCCGCTGCTGTTGTTGCCGCTGCTGTTGCCACTGCTGTTGTTGCCGCTGCTGTTGCCACTGCTGTTGTTGCCGCTGCTGTTGCCACTGCTGTTGTTGCCGCTGCTATTGCCACTGCTGTTGTTGCCGCTGCTGTTGCCACTGCTGTTGTTGCCGCTGCTGTTGCCACTGCTGTTGTTGCCGCTGCTGTTGCCACTGCTGTTGTTGCCGCTGCTGTTGCCGCTGATGTTGCCGCTGCTGTTGCCGCTGCTGTTGCCGCTGCTTGTATCTCTCTCCCTCCTTTACTCTATTTTCTACACTTCACCTAATCATATATCAGGATACATTTTCGTGTCTATCGTTATACGGGATATTCGCGTTCCTGCGCATCGGCATGACAGCCGAGTAGACAGTGCTCGGGATTCGTAGTACTAAGGTTCCGGGTTCAATCCCAGATGGAGGTGGAAACAAATGGGCAGAGTTTCTTTCACCCTAATGTCCCCTGTTCACCTAGCAGTAAATAGGTACCTGGGAGTTAGACAGCTGCTACTGGCTGTTTCCTGGGTGTGTGTAACTAAAAGGAGGCCTGGTCGAGGACCGGGCCGCGGGGATGCTTAGCCCCGAATTCATCCCAAGAAAACCTGCTCCTGCTCATTAGCAAGTGTTCTCCGGTCATTAGCAAGTGTTCTCCGCTCATTAGCAACTGTTCTCCGGTCGTTAGCAAGTGTTCTCCGGTCGTTAGCAAGTGTTCTCCCGTCGTTAGCAAGTGTTCTCCCGTCGTTAGCAAGTGTTCTCCGGTCATTAGCAAGTGTTCTCCGGTCATTAGCAAGTGTTCTCCGGTCATTAGCAAGTGTTCTCCGGTCGTTAGCAAGTGTTCTCCGGTCGTTAGCAAGTGTTCTCCGGTCATTAGCAAGTGTTCTCCGGTCATTAGCAAGTGTTCTCCGGTCATTAGCAAGTGTTCTCCGGTCATTAGCAAGTGTTCTCCGGTCATTAGCAAGTGTTCTCCGGTCATTAGCAAGTGTTCTCCGGTCATTAGCAACTGTTCTCCCGTCATTAGCAACTGTTCTCCCGTCATTAGCAACTGTTCTCCCGTCATTAGCAACTGTTCTCCCGTCATTAGCAACTGTTCTCCCGTCATTAGCAACTGTTCTCCCGTCATTAGCAACTGTTCTCCTGCCATTAGCAACTGTTCTCCAGTCATTAGCAACTGTTCTCCGGTCATTAACAACTGTTCTCCGCTCATTAGCAACTGTTCTCCGCTCATTAGCAACTGTTCTCCGGTCATTAGCAACTGTTTTCCCGTCATTAGCAACTGTTCTCCCGTCAATACCAACTCTGCGGCGAGCCAGGCAACTGAGCCTCACCTGACAACCACAACGAGTCTACCTTTAGCTAAGAGGAGCCCCGGGGGCAGCCGGGTAACACCCCCCCCCCCCCCTTCACTCCTGACAGGCGGACCACACGATCACCTGATAGCAGTTAAACATGTACAACCTTTACGCTGGGTGCATTTCCTTTGCGGGAGATAATTGTGTTATTTTAATGATGCCAGGCTTCTTAGTTTAGTTTGTTTCTGGATGTCTTGACGGAGTGGGGACGAAGGGTAGTTAGTGCTGATGAGGCAGTGGTTTGGGATACACGAATAGTTTTAAGTGATTGAATTGGAAGCAAACACGGTGATTAATTCCGCAGATTCAGAAACACGCTTGTTACCGATGGTTCTTTATTAGGACGTTTGTTGTTCTGTGTTCTGGACCCGTTTTGGGGCTTTGCTCGTCCAAACTCCGTCCAAGCGGTCGTCCAAATCCTGGTTATACTCTCGTCCAAATCCTGGTTAAGCGCTCGTCCTAATCCTGGTTAAGCGCTCGTCCAACCCCCCCTGGTTAAGCGCTCGTCCAACCCCCCTGGTTAAGCGCTCGTCCAACCCCCCTGGTTAAGCGCTCGTCCAACCCCCCCCCCTGGTTAAGCGCTCGTCCAACCCCCCTGGTTAAGCGCTCGTCCAACCCCCCTGGTTAAGCGCTCGTCCAACCCCCCTGGTTAAGCGCTCGTCCAACCCCCCTGGTTAAGCGCTCGTCCAACCCCCTGGTTAAGCGCTCGTCCAACCCTTGGCCAAGCGCTCGTCCAACCCCCCTGGCCAAGCGCTTGGCCAGGGGTTGGACTTGGAATAAGATGCATTGCTCAACCTAACCCTTCTGTGTACAAATTCGGTGTTTTCTCAGGTATTAAATACCTTTAATATGCACTTAAAATTTTTCGTCTAATTCGTCCTAGGTTATGCTAGGTAATTATTACAAGAAGGTTAGGTGTTGGGGTTCTATTGACAGTTATTCAACCCTTCCTCAGGCTGGGTTCATTCCTTCCAGAGGCAGACCCAAAGGACACATTAATCATCTATAATATACTCTTAATTCAAAAAGTTAATTTTCTCAAATATAAATTAATATTATGAACTAGAATATTGTGTATTTTTGAGGCGTAGGTTAGGATAGGTGTTTAGGTTCTGTTGGCGATTATTTGTATATGTAGTGTGTATGTGAAGCATTTATAGAGTTATGATTCGAACAGAGGTCGCATTGCTCGTTAATCCAGCCGCCAAACTCCCTGTTTACTAATGGAAAATGGTTTCCGCATGACTCACAACTGATGTCGCAACCCGTCCTCGACTCAAGTCCATTATATCCAGCGGCCGACCCCACAGGCGCATTCATAAATTTTTACATGCTGTTCATTCAAAACAGGAATTTCCTCAAATATAAATTAATATTATATCACAATAAAGCAAAAAAAAAGGCACAATAAAGCAAGAAAAAAAAAGGGAAGGGGGTGGTAGGAGAAAAGCACACAGAAACTGTATTCGAGGGGACCTACATTCCCTCCAATGCGTTGTGTGTGGTTTTCACCGAGGCTATGGGTCCCCCTCCTTCCAGCCAGAGGTGGTACTCCCTTCCCTATTTAAATTAATATTATAATATATTAGCATATTGTGCATATATAGGCATAGGTTAGGTTAGGTGTTTAGGTTCTGTTGGCGATTATTTGTATTTGTAGTACGTGGGAGAAGCATTTACAACGTTGTGGTTCGAACAAAATTCGTCAGTGAAGCACTTGTTCCGGAAGTGTTTGAACGTCATCAGTTGTAAGTCGTGTGTAAACCGTTTTTTATTCATAAACAGGGGGTTTGGCGAGTGCATGGAATAACTTTTGGGTCTTTGTTTGAATGACGGGCTAGATGACGTTCGAACCTTTCTCGAACAGTGCTTCACTGACGACATCTGTTTGAATCACAACTCAGTAAATGCATGTACACTACAATTACAAATAATTAACAACGAACCTAAACACCTAACCTACGCCTAACTATACATATAACGTTAATACACAATAATATTAGTTTATATACAAGAACAAACTTATTTTTAATACATAATATGTCAAAATTTATGACTGCGTCTTGGCCGCCGCTTTAACGAACTTGGCCTAAGGATAGGTTGAGTCGTGTGTAATGGGTTTCTCATTCGTAAATAGAGGGTTCTGCACCTGTATTAAAGAGCATTCAACCACTGCTTTAGAGAACGGGTTAAATCATTTGTATATGCAGAACGTGGCGTGAAACCCTTAAATATATGTGATTAAATTACGAAGTTATCAATACCCTTTTCGAGAAGTTGTCATAACTTCTAACATTGAATGTCAGAAGTTATGGGACGTGTCTTAACTACATAAAAATATAGCAATAGTCTGCATAAACATGTAACCATATTTTCCTACAATCACACAATTAGTTAATTTCCAGCTATCCTGGAACAGTCAACAGAGCGTATTAATACCTAAGGAAACCTTGGGCTAACTATAAACGAAATTACAATATATAAAATAATCCTTTACATTAGAAAAAAGTACATGTGTATATACACGTTAAAAATCAATTAATGTGTTTCTGGGGTCGTCTGGTGCTTAAACGACCATAGTCTAAGGACGATCATAGACAGAGGACGACCATAGTCTAAGGACGATCATAGACTGAGGAAGACCATAGCTTGAGGACCGGTTAGAGTCGTGTGTCAATTTTTGGGTCATTCATTAGAGAAGATTTGGCGGCTTGATTAACGAACATTTGCCCTGTGTGTATGAGGACGTACTGATTATCAATATGTGTTGGCTTCATTACCAATAATGAATGTGGATTCCTAAGTCTGTATGGTGTTGCGGTTTAGTAAGAAAAGATTTTATTTATAAGTAGACTACAGCTTGAGTTTTGCTTAGGTCATAAGTCTCTCTTTCTTGATGCAATGTAGTTCACCATCACATCGTAGGATTAAATTAAGTATTCTCTCGATAAAGAAAACATTAAGATTATTTAAGGAGAAATGTTGACCAGATCACACACTAGAAATTGAAGAGACGACGACGTTTCAGTCCGTCCTGGACCATTATCAAGTCGATTATGTTGTGATGAAAAAGGCAAGGGTAATAAATGGACAATTTTGGGCAATGGGTCAAAGACTGCTGGACTGTCTCCTAGACTCTGTCTTGGGCTCTTGCTTAGGCTCTCTCCTGGACTTTCTCCTAGGACGTCCTCTTGGACTTCATTTCGTACTCTGCTAGCACTCCTTGTTTTTTTTTCTCCTAGGACACTCTCCTAGGGCTGACTACTGGACTCACTCCAGTACTCCTGGACTGGTTATAATCAGGCAAGAAGTGAAGTCAATCATTTTGCGTTAAAACTCGTGCAAAAATAAAAAAATTAGATTTTTGTGGGAGGTTTCCGCTACAGTAATACAGCTATTAAAAACAAAAACTTTATATATATATATATATATATATATATATATATATATATATATATATATATATATATATATATATATATATATATATATATATAAATAGTGTGTGTGTGTGTGTGTGTGTGTGTAGTAATAAAATATAGTTAACACGCCAGGAAAAGCAACTTATTAGTGGGCTTAAACATGAGGAAAAAAAAGATCCTAAACTGACAAGTCACCGCTTTGCATAAATTATGTCAGCCTTGTCTCTGCAACAAGACGGTGGTGCACTAAATTACCCAAGACTTCGGGAAAGCAAGGCGATAAAAATTATTACTACAAGGGCACAGCTCCTATTATCTCTTAGTTAAATGTCCTCTCCCAGAATGTGGGGAAGCTGAGGAACGCCTGTAATATAAGCCCCCACTACCGACTAAGGCTGACCACCGTCAATGCGTTCAGCGCCGCCGGTAACATTTGGGCTTCTTCAAGACACAATTTTCCCCATCACTTCGTCGCCAAGGAGATTTCGGGGGAAAAAGTCACATGTGAGCTTCAAATGTGTAGTCATTACCTGTGGGGTGGACGGCCGGCTGATTGGTGTGTTGACTATCTGGTCTAGCAGAATGGAGCTCTGTACATTGGCCTGGGCTGTGAGGAATACGTTTGTTTACTGAGTATTTTGAGACTATTCTTCCATCATTTTTCAGTGTGGTTGCTCAGAATACAAAAACACTTTACCATACAGGTTGTGGAAGTTTTGTGTTTCAAATACGGGACTTGAAATTCACAATGTTCCTCAGTTGAGATCAATTGATCTTTCGGAAAATAAGGAGTAATATGTTCTCATTTTTATGGCCAAAGATTTACCTATAGACGGGATACATTAGTTTTTTGTATTAAAAGTAAAATAAAATTTGGATTTATTTCAAATTATATATATATATATATATATATATATATATATATATATATATATATATATATTTATATATATATATATATATATATATTATTCGACAGTCTGCTACGAGAGAAGAAATACGGAAAATTCCTTACTTTCGTATTAATCAATACATCTTCAATAGGATGGCTATTAATTGTTGAAATCATTCCAACTCTATCAAAGGCAGAGTTAGAATGATAGCAAATTTATGAAGATTAAGCCACGTAAGAGAGCGCACGGGCATGAATAGCCCGTAAGATTACAAATTGACTTGCCGCATGATAAGTACTCCAGGGTGAGGTGAATGGGAGGTGGTGATTCACTGTATCTTGTCACTCATCTGTCTGCATGATGTCTGTTGAAGTATGTTGTGTCGTGTTCTGCAAGTTGGCAGAGTGTAATTTGGTACTAGTTGGTTATTGTTGCTTTGGATTGCATTATGCATAATACCTCACCGATGTTCGGTCGTCTGTTGTTGCTGTGTCTATCGATACAGATAAAGATCTGTCGCTGACAGATCAGGCAGGGCTAAAACCTGACTATTTTGATAAATTACACAGAGAACTAACACGGAAACGGCTGAAGGCTCCGTTAGCTAGAGGCAACAGAGACAGTTACTCCTAACAGGAGAAACAGAATGTGATGAGGAGAT